GCTTTGTTTCACAGAACTAATAGTTGCCTGGGTTGCGTACGTATGTGTGGGTATGTATATCAAAATAGGGGCGAGACCCTTTTAGGGTAGGGGCGTGTTCGTTTTGGTGATTTCAAATGTCAACATTGGCAGGTTGCGATGTGTGTCGAGCAGGTATATTCTTCCAAAACTACATAAGCTGATTCAGCGTCCATACTAAAATTAAACTCTGCAGATGGTGTCAGATTTCCCTTGCCTGGAAAATGAACAGTGGTCGGATGAAGCTCGGTAGAAAGCGTCCTGATTGGGGTCTGTGTCCTGACGTGTGCTGTTGTTGGCACTGCCTTGGTTTTTATTTAAAAAGGGGTCATATGATGCGATTTCAAGTATCGCTGATATGAAAAGTACAATTTGCTGCCATCCAATTAAGGTGGCCAGTTTTTGTACTGCAGCTCATTTTCTTACCTTCCATGTTACCGCCCATAATGTACAGATCCTTGAGTTTCTGAGGGAGGGTGGGATCTAATCTAACAGCCAAAGCCAAGTTAGTCAATGGACCAAGAGCTATGAGAGATACCTGCATACGAGTAAACAAACAGGGCTTTGCAAGTGCATTCCATTGTCAACCACAAGATGGCAGCACAAAATTCAGCAGGAAACAAACACTCTAACCTAGTGGTTCTCACCCTTTTTGACTCCAAGGGACCCCACATTGTCAAAAGTTTGAATGCCCTTTAAGATATTTCTGACACTTTAGCAGGAATGTCAATGCTGCTCAATTTCAAACTTTTTTTTTAAATGAACAAACTAGGAGTGGCAATACACTAAATTAACAAATCATTTTCATTAAAAAATATTTTTTCATAATTCCAGAAGTTTCAAGAACTAAACTTTCTTCATGGTTTTACAATATATTAACAATGTTGTTTGTGATTACAGGGTTTTTCCATTTATTTTATTAATTTCTACCAACCCTAATTATTAAATAAAAATGCCAATTATTAAGGGAATTAATTAAAATAATAAATTAATATGATTTCAGCTGATAGTTTTTTTTTTTTAGCTGTTTTGTTTCGTTTTCAGCTCATCTTGTTGCTATGAGGGTACTAGGATGTCTTTATGTAATGATCCTAAACACTATGCGGCAAAATAAAATAAAACCTTGGAAAAAAGTGAGTCCATAGTGCCTCAAAATTGAGCTTTAATTGAGAACATATGAACTAAGACTTAATTAACCTTAAAGCAAGCAAAATGATGCATATGTTGACAAAATTTTACCTTTGCTTAAAGGGTTCTTTAATATTTCTTTTTATTAAACTTTTTAAATCAGTATTCTAGAAATAAACAGTTATTAAATAGTTATTGCTTACCTCTCCCTGGTTTTCATTTACCAGTCTTATTAAAGCATGAAGTGCATGCTCTTTCTGAATCTGCCCTTTCCAAATCTCAGAGTTCTCCAGAACATCTCCAAGTCCATCTGTGCCAAAGTGATCTTTAAATCCTGCCACAGGTCCGATTAGAGGACCAGCAGACCCTTTAAAAACTGGAATCTGAGGTCAAACAATGCAATACAGTGTAATCTTAACATTCATATCATATTAGGTCATGACAGTTGTATTGGTACTGTTATAACTGCACTGACCTGGGTTTGTTGACAGACTGTCAGAACCCGCATCACATTCTGACACACATTATCCACATCAGTGTTCCCAAAGCAGCAGGTGATGCCCAACACCTTCACACCAGGAGCTGCCAGAGCAACTATGATAGCCAGAGCATCATCTATGCCACAGTCTGTGTCGATTATCAGCAGCTTCTGAGCCATGCTGGTTAGATTCTGGAAACATCGGTCTGGTAAGGGCACTTAATCATATACAACTGGGATGTTAACTATGAAGATAAGTAACTAGTTAATTTGTAACCAACTCAGTACTTGATTGCACCATTTGTTCTTAAGGTGAGACATAGCAAGTAGGTCATAAGCTTTCTGTAAAGCAATGTGTAATCAAGTTAACATGAAATTTGTTGTTATATAAGTAAAAGATTGTCATGATGTGTATAAAAAAAATAACAGACAACACAGTATAAATGACCATGAAATGACAACACAGTATAAATGACCATGAAATGTATTTTCTCATATATTTTCTTTATTATTACAGTTGGTATCTATCTATCCAAACGTTTAATCAGGTCACTTTCTGCAGGTTAAATCTTAAAACTGCAAAAATGCTAATGCATATGCCTTTGTACGTTTAACGAGGAAAACATTTTCAATAAATCGTTTCATCGTGGAATCCCTTCAGTTTTCAGTCATGCTTCATAAACTCGCTTTACTGTTGCTCACCTACCCCGGTCTTGCACCTGCTTCAGTTCAGGTCGTTGGCAAGCAGTTCAGTCCACTTATAAGACAACCACGCTCTACTTCCTCTGAAAGATTTTACCAACGGAGGTGGAACTATTATACAGACTATCTACATTTACACAACTATCTGCCATAACATGTAATGTTTTATACAGACGTTCTTAAAATATGTATATTAGTATGTTAGACTGTTATTTAAACCGTTTAAATCCGATGTAAGAAACATTTCCATTTATTATGTCGTACAACACCCCTATGTTTGAGATTGGTAGAGCCCGTTGAGGCAGTCCAACAGAGAGGTCGCGCAGCGCAGTAGAATTAATTTGTTCCTGCAGAATTGGCCAGGTAGGTGCAGATTTACTCTTTTTGCATTATTTTAATGATGATTAAGTAAATATGGATAAATATTTGCGTCCTGAAATGACGTTTCGTGTTCTTTCGAAGAGCCTATTGGTGGCTACACTGATCCTGCTTAGCTATTCATATGTCTGCGGTATTTATACCGTGTCTTCGGTGGTTTAAACTTATATTGCGGCGGTTTATCTTGTAATCTAGTCCTGAAATGTATTGTTGCCTTGCCTGCCGACCGTCATCGATGAAGAATGACCTAAACAATGGTAGTGTTGACGATGAAGATGAAGATGTAGGAGGAATTCAACCATGTGGTACCATGCAAACATAGTTGAAAGCTGCTGTCAGTGTCAGCTGTGACTGGCCCATTATTTTCATCCAACATTTCATCTATAGCAGTCTCTGGCCTAGTTTAATTAGCACTATATAATCATAGTGATGGAGTCAACAGTCTCATACCACACCTTAGTTCACAAAAATTCCACCATACTTTTATTATTGCAGGTATTTGTTTTTGTTCACATGAATGGATGTAGTTATGTTCAGCTGGGTAGATTACTTACAAATTGTAGTCTGTTACTGATTACAGATTACATGGTGAAAACTGTAGTTAGTAACGGTTACTCCTTGTTTTAGGTCATGTGTTTCGACTACTTTTTAGATGACTTTTTATCAAACTTGTTTTAAGCTTACCATCAAATGTACCATATTGACATATAAAGAGCAAACTGAGAAAATATATTCCTTGAAATATTTATTTGTCTATCTTTGAGAATATAAGCAAAGCTAAATGGAATGTCACACGGTAGCATTTTTAGAAAGGAAAATTTAAAAGAGGAAAAATAATATGTAATCATGTAATCCATAAAAAAGTAACAGTATGAGCATTTTAAAATGTAGTATACTCTAATTACAAGTACTTCATTTTTGGAATCTGATTACATAATCCAGATGACATGTAATCAGTTACTACCCAGAAGTGGTTATGTTAGATGTTAGATCCATGAAAAGGCTCAAATTCAAAGCAATCTTAAAATATTATTCATATTTAGGGATCTGTGTGGCATAGCCAACACGCAGGAATCAGTTTTGTAATCTTGTGACAAGAAAACCATCTTCTTCGTTTCTGCACTTGGCATAACCCTAAAAAAATTACTGATGCACATGTCTCAGAAGTTAATTCAAATATGTTTGATTTCAAATAAATAAATAAAATATTTTTTAAAAAATCGAGTTTTTTTTGTTTATTCATTTTTAAATTACTATTATTGAGCAAGGATGCATAAAAACAAAATAAAAAATGACAGTACAGACAAATTTCTGTTTCAAATAAATGCTCTTTTTATTTAAAGGGGTCATATGATGCTATTTTAAAGATCATTATTTTGTGTATTTGGTGTAAGAGAATATGTTGACATGCTTTAATGTTCAAAAAACACATTATTTTTCAAATACTGTACATTATTGTAGGTCCTCTATGCCCCGCGTATTATTGCTTTTATTTATTATTTATTAATTTTATATATTATACATTTCTTCTTATATTCAGTTTCTTAGTATCTGTCTGTTTGTCATGTTCTTAATTGTAGTCAGTGGATGAGATTCCTTCTTTGAGCTCTCTTCTTGGATCACGTACGTCACAGCTGGAGCACATCTGTAGGTTATTCTCTTAACCATCATCCTAGTTCTTCGTTCAATGCCTAACACTGGGGAAAGTGAAGGCGCCAAGGTATCTGCTAGGACTGATCAGGAGGCCCCATCACGGGCCCCGGCCAGAGAGGATGAGCGTCAGCGCAGCTTCCTGAGTCCGATGACGTGTGATGCGCTGCGTGTACGACGGGCCTCCAGCGCAGAGCTCCAGCTTCCATGGACCTGCCCTGTAACACACTCCCGGGAGAAGTTCTACACCGTCTGCTCGGACTATGCACTGCTCAACCAAGCCCGACCCATTATCACATCTGAAGATGCGCCACCGACCAATGCAGACACCACAGCATTAGTCAAGACCAGCGCTACAACCCCTTCCCAGAGTCACTCAGGGGGGGAAAGTGTGTCTTCAGATGGGAACTGTGATATGGAGGTTGTGTCATCCAGCAACAAGCCTGTGCTCGCCTGGGAGATTGACACCTCTGATTTTGACGCGGTTTTAACACGGAAAGCCAAAACAAGTAGGTGTCTTTCTAAAAAAAAAGATTAAAGACATCTGCATACTGTCATCTGGTGCAGAAACAGATCGAAATACTTTGGGAGACAAAAATATATATATTTAAAATGATTATTTTTTGTAAATTGTTTAATTAAACTAATGCACTAATACACACACACACACACACACACACACATATGTGTGTGTGTGTGTTCGCAGGTCCGCATGCGCGACCAAAATAAGAAATGCGCTGTGGAAATTAGTTCAGGTCGCGCTTTTGCGTATATAGACTATATAAAAACATACGTGACGTCACCCGTAGATTTCCGAAGAGCGTTTTTGAAGCTCAAAGTGGGCGGAGCCAGCCGTCGCCATCTTGGCAGCGCGTCACTCCCGGATAATCGAAAATGGGCAAAGAGGCGGGAGCTGGCTGCTGAAACCACGCCCACCTAGCTCGACGGTGGTGACAGCAGCGGCAATCCACCTGTCACTCAAGTGGCCACGCCCTTAATTATGCAGAACTTTAGGACTTAATATAATTTAAACGGAGGAGTTATAAAAAAATCCACCCCCCTCACAGTTGTCATGACGGGCAAAATTAGCTATATAGACCAAAATCATTTTTTGAACCAGACTGTAAACATGTGTTTTTCTGCTGTAAAGTTGGGCATTTTAACATGCGGAGTCTATGGGATTGACTCCCTTTTGCAGCCCGCCTCTAGCGGCCAGTTGATGAATTACAGTTTACGTCACTTCCGTGTTGGCTTCACAAAAGAGAGCGAGAGGTTGCCGCTTGGTACCGACATGGTTGACAGCAGTTAATGCGCAATTACCATTTTAGATCGACAAACTATACTGTATAAGCTTTCTATTCAAAGTGAAAGCATAAATCTAGGCTACCCGCTAACATTTTCAAAGCACAATGCAAAACTGTGACATTTCATTCACTGACGCTCTTCAATCGGCAGCGCTAAACCCGGAAGCGCATATACTTACTTGCCGCACCGGCAACCCGCCAAAATAAAAGCTTGCTGATTTTAAGTTTAAAAATTAAAATAATTAAAATAAAAAAATAATAATTAAGGTTCAAATCAAAATAATAAAAATATTAGCATTTTATTTTGAAGTTTACTATAAAATAATTGTATTTGTATTTAATACTCCCTTTTTATTTAAAAATAAAATAGTATTATCACACTTTATTATTTTATTTAAAAATAAAAATAATAAAGTGCAGTAATATAACTATTATTAATTTATTTTTTTTAATTTATTTTTGAGGATCAAATCAAATATCCAGGTTCTCATATAAGAACCAGGCTGAAAAAACTATGTGCACCCCTGATAATAGGACCCCTTTAAGTGTTTTTTTTTTCTTTAATTGCTTATATACATATATATATATATATATATATATATATATATATATAATTTTTTTATTTTATTTTAAATTTTAATTTTTTTGCAGAATTTGACAGTATAAAATAACATTTTGGAAACATTTCATTTAGTTGTTTTTATAATCACACTTTCTATCTTTCTCACACAATATAAATGGATTTTAAAACATGAAAATATATAGCTACCTAAAAAAAAAGTTTTTGAACAGTAAAATTTGTAATGTTTTTTAAAGAATTCTCTTCTGCTCACCAACCCTGCATTTATTTGATCCAAAAGACAGCAAAAGTAGTAATATTTTGTATTATTTAAGATAACTGCTTTCTATTTGAATATATTTTAAAATGTAATGTATTCCTGTGATT